TCATCCCCTTTGGCCTTGGCCAGTTCCACTGCCCAGTTTCAGCTGTGGCAGTTGTTTCTCTTATCCACCCACCTTCACATCTGGCTTGACATGTTTTCCTTAAAGCTGCCTAAATAATTTACCTTGACTAAGAGCAAACAGCAGTGCCAGCCCCAGACGAAGCTTTCTGAGAATGACAGTAACTAGAGGGCACTTGCTGTACTGGACATCGAGCCGTGGCATGCCTGACTCTGCTGGATCCAGGTATTCCAGATTTCTGTCAGCCTCCTTCCTGAGAGGACAGGGGTCCTGCCTCACAAAGCGGAGCTGCTCTAGGCTGAGAGGATTAGTTTCCTTAAGTTCTGAAAATCCTTGGGATGTTTTCCTTCTTTTTTATGGGAAAAAATAGTTTGTTGGGATTATGCCCATATTAGCTCCTTCCCATGATGCTTTCCCACCGCTGCTCCTCCTGAGCCTCAGGCTGAAGAACAACTGCTCCCATTCTGCTGTGCCTATTCCTCAACTTTTGCATTCTTGCACCTAGACTCCTCAAAGAAGAGGAAATCAGTGAGCTGTGCTGCTTCTCCTTGAATCAAACATTAACCAGATCCTTTGGTGTGTTTGGTTCCTTCTCTTGGTTTATGTCCAATGCTGCTTTCACAGAGCTGGTGCCACAGCTGTTGGGCTCTGAGGACAAAAACGTGTTCAGCCAAATGTCCACAGAGCGAGGATCACTGTCACCATTTCCACATCGCTTGGCTCATTGAGCATCACCAACGGAGCTGGGAATCCCGGAGTAAGAAATGCCCAGAAATCTGTGTATGGGGCTCGACATGTGGCCCCACCCTTGGCCATCCAGCCTGCCTGCCAGGGCCAGAACTGCCACATTTCAGGGGGTCCTGTCCCCTTGTGCTGCTGCCAAGGGTCTCACCCTGCACGTAGGGAGTGGCTCTGGTCCCAGGGACAGTGCACCCGTGCTGTGCCGTGTAGCTCTGAGGAATGGGGAACAGATCGGCTACTTCTCGACAGTGCATTGTTAAAGGTTTCGCCTCCCCCAAAATGACACATTGCAAGCAAAAATAGAACAAGACAGAACACATAGACCCACCCCCACCATCCCCACCACCCGGCAGCCAAGTGCATGCGGTGCCAAAGTCTCAGGTTTAAAAGCTGGTGCCTTGTCACCCTCCCTTCCCTCAGCCTTGCCACCACCCGCCTTGGCCTGGCAGGCGTTCCGGCAGCCCGGTGGGTGACCACTGCACCGAGAGCAGCCATGCTGCTGGGATGATCGCCACCCAACCTGCCCTGTGCACTGGATCTGGCCTCCCTCTTCACCTGGTGGGTCTGGGGACGGGGACAGCTCCCAGCTGTGGTGTTTGTGCCAGAGGTTCTCTCACCTGCTGCACAGTGGCGCTGCTGAAGTGGCATGAGGGATGCCTTTGGCCAGGAGAGCCACCTCCGGCATGGCGTCATGGCTCAGCCCAGCGTGCCATGAGCCAGGGCTGTCTCCTGTGGATGATGAGGGAAGCTGCCTCCCAGCCAAGGAGCAGGGTCCAATTCTGGACTGCCGCCGGCATGTGCTAAGCACAGTTGGACCAGGCAGAGATCTGGTTGGAAAAACTCCAGGAAAGGAAGAGTTGCTCCCGAGGTAGTAGAGCTGTCAGCTGTTTGTCAGTAGCACCTAACTGCTGCGGCCTGCCTTCACTACCCTGGATCCTCCATGGCTTCAGAGCCAGTGTTTACACTTGCAGGAGAATTATCCAGACTTCATGAGTCCAACTGTGATCCTATTCTGGGACACAAAGCCCATTTACTCTCACATCCATGGATTTTTAACATTGGAAATGGCTGGAGCAGAGGTTGGTGGTGTCTTGGGGGAAGGGCTGGAGCGGTTTGGGCTGAGTGTTGGGGCAGAGAGGAGCAAAGAAGCCATGGCACCAGAACCCACACCCTCAGGACAGGCAGCCACGTCTGGAGAGTGGTTTAGGCATGAGGGGGAACTTCTCCCTCTGAAGCCAGATGAGCAGGGCTGGGGCACATGTTGCCAGCCAGGCTGTCAGGGCTGCAAGGCCGAGGCAGCAGAGCTGAGCTTATCCAGTGAGCTGCACATGGAGGCAGAGGTGTCTGTGACACATTCCTCTGTCACCCAGCCCTGCCCCAGTAATGTCAGGGGGAGCTGGGACAGAGCTGTCCTGCAGGGTTGGTTGGACTGGGAGGAAGACTGCTGTCACCTGCTACACTGTGCAAACAGACATTGGACGTAATCCTTGCAGAATGAGTTCTGCCTCAGTTTCCCTGTGGGAGTCATGCAGGGTGGCTCCTTCTGGGGCTGCTGTGAGTTCATGCTGAGTAAGCTCTGAGAGGGGCTATAACATCCAGAACCGCCTGGCTGGGATCTGCTCAGTCCCAGTGCTGTTCTGCTGAGGAAGAGGAGGCATATCCAGGACAGACCTGGTGGTTTTGTGGCAGCGAGTGGCTGCTGTATTTATCTGTGCTGAGGCCATGAGGCATTTGCAGCTGGTGTCTCACCATGTGTGCATTTGCACCGGTGGGTTTCTCCCATCTCTGATGCTCTGCATCTGCTCTTACAAGCTTTGGCTTGACCCGGGCCCTCTGCCTTCTCCTGTGCCCTTTGAGTTCTTCCCAGGAAAGGCCCAAAGGGGAACAGCCTGGGGGAAACAGCCATTTGTTGATTCTTGTCTGGTTCTTTGCTGATTGCGGGGAGCCACCAGCACTTGTGATGGCAACTCCCAGTTGACCCACCTTCTCCCACGTGTCTTGCTGGCAGGTTTGGGAAGAGCAGGGTGGGCTGTGCTTTGGCTGGTGTGACCACTGTGCTGGAAAGCTGGGCTTCTCGTGAAGGAAGGCTGCAGAGAACTGAAGGGTGCTGTGGGTATGACTGTGGGGTGTTGAAAAGCCCCCCACACTGCTGCCCCTGAAGGTCACAGAGGAGGAGAAAGGGGCCCACGCCACTTAGCAGGAAACACCCTTTTAGGAGGAAAAAAACCAACTGGGTTTAACATTGGGACAGGTTTATCCTCTGGTTCATCATGTGAGGGTGGAGGGGATGGAGGGCAGGAGGATGGAGGGGATGGAGGGCAGGAGCCCCGTGAAGCTCTGCCATGCCTGGGCAGACCTCACAGCGTGGGGACAAGTCCTGTGAGGGCACTTAACCAGCCAAGCTGTCCCAGGCTGCACACAGACCCTCCTCCCTGCCAGGGGCTGTTGTGGGGTGGTCTCTGGGACAGTTGTGCCCTGAGAACAAAACTGGGTGCCACCGCTAGGCTGGTTCTGGGTGGGGATCAGGGGACACGTGAGATGGTGCTTGGGGACGTGCTGCTGCGTTTCAGTGTGTTTGCTTCCCGTAGAGTGCGTGTGGGGCCCCGCAGACCCTGTCACCACAGCCCCTGGTCGCCTGCACCATTCCCCCTCTCGCCCTCCAGCCTGTTCAACTCCTACAATCTGGGGGCGGTTGGGAAGCGACAGCTGGAGCCAACGCGCCAGCCCGGTGCGCGCTGCCATGCCAACCCCGTTTCCATGGCAATGGGCACCCAATGGGTGACTGCCAGGCAAGGCCAAGATGCCTGAAAAATGATGTGGTACCCCCCGAAATGGCCAGCTGAGGGTGGGAGCCCGCAGATACTGCTGTTTTCAGTACTGCCTGCAATGCCTTGGAGCGGATCAGAACCACCCTGGGCCACAGGTGTGTGTAACAGGGTGGGTGAAACCCTCAGTGCACTCCGTGAAACCACTGAGAGAAAAAAAAGGGGGAGGTGTGTACAGCGCCTTTGACAGCCCCCTCCGACCGTCTTACAGCCTAATTTAATTAAAATCGTTGGGTCTTACATAATCCTCAGGGTGCCGTGCTGCTGGAGCCACCCCCGCCCAGTGCTGGAAGAGGGTCCCGCAGTGTGGGGGTGTCAGGAAGGCAGCGGGACACGGGGAGATATGCTCCCCAGGACCGACTGTGCCCTGGGGCTGCTCTTCACTGGCCCCCCTTACATTAGTCCCTGAGCCCCATGTTTATCCAGCTCCACGTTGAAGTCTAGGTGTGTATCAAAACATTTTAAAATAATTCTGCCTTTTGTTAGCATTGCAGCTATCTTTAGAGGAGATTTGATTTTATTTGAAAGCCCTCCCTGTGAGGGTTCAGTGGAATAGATTGCCAGCCCAGCAGCTGAAAGGGACACGGGTGTGGCAATTTCCTTTCTTGGCTGGAAACACTGTATTAATTATTGCTTATCGATCTCATAAACCCCATTTTACCCCTTCAGCTGTCTCCTTGGCTTTCTTGAGGTTTCCACAGCTGGAAGAGGCAGTGTTGTGCTCAGTGTTGCTCATGATCCACTTTTCAGGCACCCTGGGCTGGTTCTTCAGGCATCCTGCTCTGCAGCTCCATCACCTCTGTGTCACCAACTGCCCTGGTCATGGCAGCTGGTGGCTTTCTCAAACACTGTAATCAGGATGGGGAAAAACAGTGCTGTGTTTTCACAGTGAACTCAGGTCACGGCCATGGGCCACCACCTCTGCAGCCATGGCAGTGGCTTGGGGGACAGCCCACACCCCCCCATCACATGCCAGTGTCCCTGCTCCAGCTGTGATGGAAGGTGGACCGGACGAGGAGCTCTTTGCTGAGTGGAGGTGGCCAGAAAGGCACCCCGAGCCCACCAGGTGCCAGCTCTGCACCTTTTGGGCAGCCAAATCATTTTGTGTCTCACCAGTTGTCCTGTCAGCGGCCTGACTGCCACTGTGGCACACTGGGGCGAGGGAACTGCAAGTCACCTGCGACGGGCAGGGTGGCCAGGGTCCCTCTGAGTCCTGGGGCTGCTGACCTGGACCTGCTCCCTTATGTAGAGCCAGCAGTGAAGGAGAGGCTGGGCAGCAGCCCAGTGTTGGGGATGCTGCAGGACGGCCGAGCAGAGTCTATGCCCTTCCTTTGGGCTTCTTGCATCCTGCTTTCAGGCTTCCTGCTCTCTCCAGGCTCCGACCTTTAACATGTCACCCCTTTCTCCCCCCACCAGGAGACAGGAACAGTTCCAGACAAACCCTGACAGCTACAATGGAGCTGTGCGAGAGAATTACACCTGGTCCCAAGACTACAGCGACCTGGAAATTAAAGTGCCTGTGCCCAAGCACATCGTCAAAGGCAAACAGGTAAAGTGGTGTTGCTGGTGTGTCTTTAGCATTTCCCTTTCCGTCAGGGTGCCCAGCTTTCCCAGGAAGCTGTGTTTGGAATGGGAAGGCTCCTTATCCTTTGTACTCCAAGAGAAGGATGTGGTTGTGCTTTTTTCTCTGGTGTGTGTCTGGTGGGGACTGATGGTCCCAGCCTGCTCATGTTCCTGTTGAGCTGCAGTGTCCTCTACTCTGTCCCAGCCAGGCTCTCTGGCACTGCCTGGCCCTTTCTGCACTTTTTCTCTCTGTTTCCATCACCTGCACACTCAAACATGGGTTTCGGAGCCTGGCTGTTGATGGATGCCCCTTCCTCAGTTGTGCCTCTGGTGCCTTCCATTTGGAAGTGGGAGCTGCTGGAGCAGCTTTTCTGGCACTGCAGAACTGCGTCAGGCACAGCCTGTGTGTGGCTTGACCTGGTCTGGGTGGAAGGGAGCTGGTCTGGGGTACAGGCTGAGGGCCAGCCCTTCTCCTTGGCTGGCTGTGTGGGCAAGAGGCAGAGAGGTTCCTGCTTGGCTCAGGCAGGAACCTCTCTGCTCTGCTTGTGATCACGTTTTTTCTTCACTGCTTTTATTTCCTCCCATGGCTAGTCTTAGTTGGACCCAGAAGTTCAAACTCTTTCGAGTGTTGCCCTCCCCATGGCTGATTCTGTATTTTTCCATTTGGGAAGCCTGTACTCCCCCACCTCCTGCTCTCCTCTGCTTCCAGGGCGGCTGAAAGGAGCACACTGGGGTTTGTCACCCGCTTCAGCCTACACAGCTCCTCGGCATGCCAAGGAGTGTCACTGGCAACAGCAGCAGCAGCAGCAGCCTGGGCCAGAGGGGTGAGGGAGCACATGGCTGCCACAGGCACAGCAGGGCCCTGGGAGATGCATCTCTCCCAGCAGGTCTCTAAAACAAACCCAGGCTGTTTCTTGGAAGGATTCCGGCCCATCCAGACGGATGTTCCATTCCTCCGCATCGTACTGCAATCACAATGCCTCTCCCTGCCCATGGAAAAGTGCCCTCCTTGCCGGGGGAGTTGTGTCCTTGCCAGAAAATCCACACTGGGCTCTGTCTGCCCTGTCCTTGGCCATGGAATGATGCAGGGGCCTGGAGGAGCTCATGGGAGTGGAGACAGGATACGTTTTCCTGACCTTTCCTTGGCTCAAGACTTTGCCGTCACTGTGGAAAAGTCCTGCGCCTCAGAGTGGAGGGGGTTTCAGGACAGCCCCTTCCCACACCAGTGCCCATGGGCACACGACTCTGCCTGCCCTTGCCCTGATGTCTGCCCATGCTGCCCTCAGAGCAGTCGGCTGTTCAGGCGCTGGACTTCCCTTCTCCTTGTGCTCTGTCTCCTGGTGTTTGTTCATGCCTCTTGGGGCTCCCCTTGGCAGCTGAGTTTCCATTTCCAAGTGATTCTTTAATTCTTCTTCAGCCTCGGGGGAATGGGAGCAGGCAGGCTGAGTCTTGGGCCAGAGCAGGAGGGTGCAGAGCTATTATAAAGCTCCATGGACTTTGGTTGTGTTGTTGATGGGTTCCTGTATAAGAGCAGCATTCCCCTGCATTCACACACCTTCATATTTTTAAAAAATTATCAGGTTTTTGGCTTTTGCCTGCCCAGGTGAAATTAAAAATCTCCCTATTTGGTCCCTGGGCTCAGAGTCTGCCCAGCTCTAATGCTGCTCACAGTCTTCCTTATGACACTTTTTGGGATTTGGGCTGTTGCTATGGCACATTTTTGCTCTGGTGAGCTTAAGGTTTCCTTGTATGGAGCTCAGAAGAAGTGTCCTTGGAGTAGGAATGGGCAATGGAGTAGGTGGGAGCATCTTTCTCCCTGGTCCCCACCTATCTGATCTACTTATGGGTGCAACAGAGGCCCACCTATCCGAGCGCTTAAATAGAGATAATGACTCTAGGCCTCTCTCTCTGCTGGACTTGGAGGAGACAAGCTTGATTCCTCTCTCAGTCTGTGTTTGCTTGTTTGATCTGTGTGGGCGGGTGTGGGCGTTCCGTGTGCAGAAATCGCTGTGGTGTAAAAGCCGTGGCAGAGAGCTGAGAGCTGGCTTCCCTTGGAAGCACTGAGTCAACCAGGAGTTTTGGGGGTCAGAGGTGCTCATAGGGAGTGCATGGCAAGGGACAGGCAGCCTTGAAGCCTCTGGGGTGCTTTCAGGGTGATGTGCTCCTTGCAGAATTGCTCTTGGCCTTCCCCCAGGTGTGGACTGTCCACAGGCACTACCCTGTGCATATGTGAGTCCTCTCAGAGATGTCCCTCCATGCACAGAGGGGCAGGGCTCTCCAGCGGGGTGTGCTCTGCCCCTGTACCCTGTCCCCGCTCCTGGGGGGTTGGTGTGCCGAGCGAGACCTTCTTGCTGGGCAGTTATAGAAACAGGTGTTGCAATTGCTTCTCACTCTGGCTGGTTGCACAGTGAAGGGACTGGGTGAAAGCTGCCCAGTTTGGATCCCTTCTTCCGTTTGGGTTTCTCTGCTCCCTCTCCCAACACCTGGCTGGTCCCAGAGCCACCTTGAAGCTGCCCCTTAGCTCCAACAGCTGCCTTGTGCTGGGAATAAAACCCCTCTCACATTTGGTTACTCCTGTCCCTGTGGATCCCAAAGCCACAATGCTGCATCTGTGCCTTCCATGTGTCCAGCCTCCCCGACCCTCCACACCACAAAGAAGCCCCCTCAGAAGGTGACTCGGGAGTCACCTTCCATTTTTTCCCTGGACCCCTTCTGGACAGGCCCTGTGCCGTGCTGAGAGCCTGGCATCAGCAGCCTTGCCCTGCACCCGGGGACCTGGGCGGGTAGTGGTGGCAGAAGGCAGAGCCTCATCCTCACACCTCATCCCTGAAGTGAGACCTCAGCCCTGGGCTGGAGGGAGCTGCTCCATGCTCAGCCCCTCTGGAGGTGTTTCCCATCCAGGAGCAACTGCTCTCGTAGAGGCTGTCCACAGCCACATGCCGGGTGACAGCCAGTTGTTCTCTCCCATCCTCATGTTCCTTCCCTGATCCCCGGTGACCGTGGTCTTGCTCCCCACCATTGTGTCGGAGCTTAGTCCTGTGTCACCCTGTGCTGTGTGTGCTGAGCCTCCTCTGCTCCTGCCAGAGCCCTGGCAGCTCCCTGTCACACACAGCAGGTTCAGGGGCTGTACCCAGGTGACATCAGTCAGACCCGACCATGGTGCCCTCCCTTGCTGGAGCAGCTCTGCCTGTCTCCTGCCTGCATGGAGCTAGTGAGCCGCTGGAAATCTCCTAGGTAATGGATAATGTAATAACATTTCAAATGAGATCTGCAGAGCGGGAGGAAGATCTGGGGGAACTCTGGGAGAGAATGCAGGCAAATCTCACCGCAGTCTCCTCCTCTCGGGCCAGTGCCGGGGGCCACAATCCTGCCCCTTCCCAGCCAGGTCTTCCCTGCAACCCCTGGCCTGGTGCGGGCTCTGCTGGCAGCAGCTCAGCGCTGAAGGGGACAGGAGAGAGCATATGGTCTCTCCGGAGACCAAGGATACTGCGTGCCTGTCACAGGCTGCCTCTGTCTCCCCAGGGGACAGCCATGTCACCTGCGTGGCAGGTCGGAGCAGGGTTCCCCATATGGCTGCTGTGGGCGGGAGCTGGCCCCATTCCTGGGGACAGAGCTGTCCCCATCGCAGGGAGCGGGGGAGCCGTGCCGGGGAGCTGTGCCGCAGCATTCCTCCTGCACACGGCCCCTCCTCGCACGCCTGATGGGAGGCCTGGGCCAAGCCCAGAGCTGGCTCCAGCAGCGGAAGCAGAGCCAAGGAGTTTGCTTTCGGCACAGTGCAGCAAAGGGGGGACGAGCTGCTGCAGCCCTGGTGTAGGAACCCCCCAAATTGGCCCTGCTCAGCCACCAGGATGACACACACCCATGCCCAGCTCATCATGGTGACAGAGGGGCACACACCCTGCTCCTAAAGAGCTTCAGTCACAGCAAGTAGGTGCCAACCTTTGAGTGCTGTGTGGAGGCCTGTAGCATTACAGGTACACATTTTCTCTGTGGGGAAACTGAGGCACTGGGTAGAACCAGCTACCTCGAATCCTTCAAGGGCCCCAATTGCTGAGCTGTGCTGCCTTTCCTCCTTGGAGAGGTTCCCTCACTCCTCCAAGCTGTCACTGTTTGCTATGAGATGACAGCGGGATTCCCACCCTCCCGCTGCAGGCAGTGCTGGAAGCTCTTCTCTCTCTCATCCCTGGCGAGTGCACTTGACCCCACACCCCAGCTCACACAGTGAGAGGGCAAGCAGGAACACTCCGGATTATTGTCTCTCTCTCTGTGTTTCCAGGTATCTGTGGATATCAGCAGTGGCACAATTCGCGTAGCGGTGCTGGAGGGGAGCAGCCAGCATGTCCTCATGGAAGGGAAACTCACCCACAAGATCAATACGGAGAGTTCCCTGTGGAGCCTGGAGCCCGGGAAGTGCATTTTGGTAAGGGCAGTCTGCACCATCCATGTCTCCTTGGCTTGCAGCTGCACTAGGCTTGACCTGGGAAACTGCAGCAGCTGAAAGTTTGAACCAGATGGAAAAGGCTCAAGAAAAGGCTTCTTTTCTGGGAAAAGATATATATCCGGCTTTGCCTGTCCAACATCTGGCTCATGCTGTCCTTTCCTGTGTGCCATGCCTTGCCTCCCCTGCTCCTGAGGTGCCCCTCAGGGTGCTGGCTGAGCAGCACATCTGTCAGGCTGGGCAAGGGGGTCCCCAGCTCCAGCTGCAGGCGGGGGAGCACAGCTGTTACCTGGGTGTCATCACTGTCCCCGATCCCAGCTCAGGCCCCTGCACTGCAGCGCCGGTCCTGCACACCTGGCCTTGCTGACTCTGCCCTCCGACTCTCCTGGCCCTGCTCTGGCCCTGGCATCTTGGCAGGTGCCTGTTTCCTGCCATTCCTTTCTGTCCTGCCATGGGATTCCTACTTAACCTGTTTGAAGTGGACACTGTGGCTCGTTCTCTGTCTGCCTTCAGCAGGCCTGTGGTTTGCTGTGTGACTGCTGCCCCAAATCATCCCCGTCCAAGTGGTCCAGGGGCTGCTGGCACCCAGCTGTGTGTTAATGGTGGATTCCCAGCCCCAAGCCTTATTTCTGGTGTGTTCCAGATGTGCAGGCTGAGGGTGTGAGTTCACCTGTGTCCACAGCTGGAGCTATTGTGGGGGCTCTGCCCATCACCCTGGGATCTCAAGTGTCAAACAGTTCCCAGACTCCTGTGCCAGTTTGGGGGCCAGGATTGTGCTGGGAGTGGGATTTTGCTTCCTGTGGCCATCTTTGCCCTATCCTTTTCCAAGCAGAGTTTCCAGAAGAGTTTCAGGAGTCCCAAGGCTGTTGTTAGACCCAGGAGGGGATACATGCCATCCCTGTGGGGGAGGGAGCAGGCTCCAAGCCTTTCACCCCATGACACAAGAGTGTCAGCAGATGGGCACCCAAATCCAAGCCCCCTGAATGGGAAACGGAGTGGGAATGTGCTGCCAGACTCGGGAATGCTGCAGATGGTGTGTAGGGAGGCTACTCAGTGTCACCCAGCCACTGCCAATCCGTAGGGATGTGATATGGTTTGAAGCTGGCTCCCTGCCAAGTCTCCAAACCTTACCACAAGAAGTCCCCCCCCCCCAAACCTCAGGGAGAAGAGGGAGAAAAAAACTAAGAAAACCCGAAATGAGAGAGACAACCAAAGTGAGATATATAAATATATTTACACTTATATACAATTAAAATATACAATTTCACAAGGGAAAGGGAAGGGGGAAGGGAAAGGGAACAAAACTAAAATAAAATATATATATATCCCAATTAGTGACCCAATATCTAACAACTAAAAAAAAGTTAGCAAAGAAAATAGCTCACTACTCTCCTGGGACAACCGAGAGTCGCTCTGGAACGATCGCCGGCAACCTCTGCCTCCCAAGGTCAGCAAGGCCTAACCAGGCCTCGCTCCCCAACACGGCAGACTCAACAGCAGGGAACCTGCACCTCCAGGCCGCCGGAAGGAAAGAGAGCGAAGGTCTCTCCTCCTCTCTTCTTATAGCCTGGCTTACATAAAAATCGTAGGGAATACTGGGTAAATCTGGACCCTTCCTTGGTTACAAACTGGTCACCAAGGAAGGCCTAGCCCAAACCACCACGGGTTGTACCCCAAGTGACAGGCTGGGGCCAAAAGGATGAGTGAGGTCACTGCAAGGGAGAGGAGATTCTCCAATGCTGTCAGGCTAGTGGAGGGATGTGGAAAAGGAGGTTTGTGGCTTCTTTTACATGCATTTTGTAAATGTTCATAAACATCTTGAAAATTAGCTAATCTGGGAAAGGAAACAATCCTGGAAAAGTGTAAACTTGTTGAAGAGGAGATGGCCCAACGGGTGGCTGCTCTCCAGCACGGAAGGGAGTCCTGGGTGGGTGTTCTCAGGATCAGCAAGGGAGGTGATGGGTCTTCAATACCCATCAGAGGCTGGGAATGGTGTAGGCGGAGTGAGACTTGGGGCCTTCTGAAGTGGCCACGGGCAGCACGGGAAGCAGAGTGGGCCCATCACCCCCAGCTCCAGAGCTGGGTCTTGCCTCGAATTAGCATGAACCCAGGGTTGTGAGGATCTCCAGCTGACTGCCAACATATTGATGGTGGGATGAGATCTCGCTTGAAGAACTGTAAGGTAACTGGAGCAGCGTGAGGAATTCTTGCCCAGGAGCATCTCCTTTTCCTGTGCTCAGAGTAGCCAGAAGTCGTTTGCGACTCCTCCTGATTCATTCATCAGGAGACACCCACCCTGTGGGAATGAATTGCTTTGTTCAGCGCCTGGATGGAGCTGTTGGGGTTTGGTTGGGGCTGACGGGGCGTACAGACCCTTTCTGTAGCCCCGTTTGTGTATAGCTCCATGTGAGCTTCAAATGCAGCTGTTGGGGATGTCTTCCTCCTGCGAGGTGCTGCCTGGCTTGCCTCCATGGGACCCAGGGATGGTGTTCCCTGGCAGAATGATGATGCAGACAAAACCAAACTCACCCAGTGCCAGTGCTGGGGTTGTCTGAGGAGATCCTGTCCACCTTGGGGACTGCTTGGAACTCCTCGGTGCTGCGTGTTTGTGTTTTGTGAGTTGAGGTGATCCCTGCAGCAGAGCTCAGTCTGTGCGCCAAGGGGGTAAAATCTCTCCTGCTTGGTCCTGTCCATCTGGGAAGGTCCCAGCTCTGTGCAGAGAGGCTGTTGAGTTCCCTGTGCTCTTGCAGGACATGTCAGGGATTGTCAACCCCTTGTTCTCCAGTCTGCTGTTACAGCTCTTTCATCATCCTTGGCCTCCCTGTCCTCCTCCTTCTGGGATGCCGTTCACAGATGCTCCAAAACCAACCTCCCTGCTCCTCCAGCTCTTATCCTGGGAAGTTTGTCTTGCCTTACAACCCCTCTAAGCTCTGCTTCCCCCATCCTGCCTGGCGGTCTTATCCATGTATCCTCTTCATTACGTGTCACTCTCTCTCCACCAACCACAGCACTCCCCTCACCAGCATTCAGAGGCCACTCTGCCTTCCCCTTTCTGCTCCATGGGGTTCTCCTGGCTGTAGGCCAGCCCAACACCAACATATTTCTCATTTCATCCTTTGGCACAGCCACGTGTGTGGCAGCAAAACTCAGCTGGTGTCATTCTGCAGTGGAGTGCTCTGCCGACACGGGGCAGGGGTCTATCCACACCTCCTCCTGCTCAGGATTGTGTCCCAGGATGGTCCCCCTGCCCATAGTGCTGCACCGTACCCTGGCCCTGGGTGTGTGGTGTCATCCCTGTGCTCTCCCTTCTCTGTCACACCCGCTCGCTTGTCGAAAGCGAGATTAAAATAACCTCACATGAGCTGTTTTTAGCAGTCCCCGTTGGGTGTTGTGCACAACACCATTTGGAATTATTTTCGTTGTGGAGGATTTTTTCCCCGTTTCCCTCTCTTTTTCTCCTCCTCTCAGCCTTTGTTATCCACACTTGGGCTTTTGTCACCAAGTCCTGCCTTGAACACATACTACAGTCTTGGCTTGTCATCCCTTGAGCCACGAGGCCAAGGGGACACTATTCCGTGATGCCTCTCTCAGCTCTGCCCTCCACACAGTGCTAGGAACGCCACTGCTGCCTCTCCTGTCCCCCTAAACACCTCCCAGTGACTTTTGGGGTGACTTTGGGCTGCTGTGATTCCAGTAGGAAAGCAGGCAGAGAGAGGTTGTCTCCCCAAGACCTACTTAGACCCCTTGGCAGCATCTCTCCAACTCTGAGAAGGTATTTGGGATTGGAGAAGAAACCTCGTGCTATGGCAAAGCCCGGCACTGACAATGAGGGGTCATAACCTTCCCAGCAGGGTGTGGAAATGGGACATGATGCCATGTCCATGCCAGTGATGCCTTTCACCTGCTGGAGGGTCCCTCCTGCCGACTTGTCTCGTCATTCCTCACAATCCATCCTTACCCCTGTGCTTTTCAATGGAACAGCCCTTCCCTACATGGCTGAGACATGTTTTGGACACTGGCTGTGGGAAGTGAGCACTTCAGTTTGAGGACGCTGCTCTCTTAGGATACAGCATTGGAGTGTGCCCCCTGCGATCCTCCCTCCCCTCAGGCCGCCATTGCAGAGGCTGTTCCTGCCTCCCTATGCACCCCAAAAGACTCAGCAGGGCTTTTATGCCTTTGGGACCCACCAGGCAGATCCGAAGCCTGGCCAAAGGTGTGGACACGCTGCAGGGACCTCATCCTTCCTCTGGCAAGTGACTGTTTGCATCTCTGGGGTGCTGGGGGGTCAGCCCAAGCTGTTGGCTGGGAAACTCATAGCAGTAGTGTCAAGTGCAGCAAAGCTTTGCCTTGTCTGGAAGCGACAAACATAATCAGGTCAGGATTTGTCCTTGTGGAAAAAGCCCTGCTTCCTCCTGGAGCCCCCATTTCTGTAGCTCTCCCTGAGGGTGCCTGCAGCCTCATGGGGGGCTGTCAGCCAAATGCCAGAGCCTCCTCGGTGGGTGGGTGGATGAGGGCTGGTGTATGAGACCTGCCCAGAGACCTGCCACAGCCTCTCATCTCTCCCTTACCCCCACCTTTGAGCACCCAAAGCGCTTGGAAAGGGCACCAGCTGCACTCCATCACCGCAAGCTCTTGTAGCCCAGATGCTCAGCCAAGCATGGGCTGGTTCCACAGAGAACATCAGCAGACACAGTCCAGGAAATCAGCCCGTGTCCATGTCCCCCATCCTGGAGGTGAGACCTGTCCACAGTGAGTGTTCCAGCACTGCCTCTAACCACGAAACCCCAAACTCACAGGGATAGAGCAACCTTTGCCCTGGACCATGAGCATTTCACATCAGAAAGTGGGGCTCCCACCTTGGAGTGAGTCCCACTTTGACAGCTGTCCCCCTGGAATAAAGAGGGTTGAGCAAATCCCCCCAGGCAGGCTGCAGAGGTGCGCGGGTGGTGGCAGGGCACCAGCAGAGGAATGAGGTTTGGTAGGGAAGGGAGGGGGGATGTATTTCCATCCCCAGACACTCTGGGGTGAGTTTTCCGTCCTCCAGTACTCTGGTATGGAGATGGGGTGATGCCTGAACTTCTGCAGCACCTGTCTGTTCCTCTGCCATCAGACTGCCTCTGGTAGGGATGTACCAAGCCATACATGCTCCCCAGTGATGCTGTGAGAGCATGGCTTGTGGTGGAGCCATCACCAGGGAAGCTCACACCCCACCAGCACTGTGGGGACATTCCTCATGGTCCAAACCCTGAGGAGCCTGGAGGATGCTCCTGCTGCAGGCATGGACAGGCCAGGGCTGCTGCCCCTCCGCTTGGCTTGCTGGCTGAGGGGTGATGTTCTGGGGGCTCCTGCCATTCCCTTGCCTGCCTACCCAGGGTTGGGAAGCCCAGGAGCAAACCCTTGGCAGCTCTCCCTCCCCTCCGAAGTGGAACTGTGCAATTAAAAGGAGAACAAGCATGCCTGTCTAGCTGGAAAAACTAACGCCTTCCCCAAGTTGGAATATTTTACCGGCTCTGCTCTCCCAGAAGGATTAAGCCCCAGCCACCCCCTCCTGTATTAATTGGTTCCTTTTCTTCACACTGCGGAGACGCCTGGCTTTGTAACGGGAATGGCTGCCTGTGTTCTCCCCTCCGGAGCCGTTGAGCTTCCAGGGAGTTTTGAGCAAATTGTATTCCTTTATTGATGATTTTGCAGAGCCTAATGAATGTCGTAAATCTGCCCTGCTGCTGGGATTAGTGCTAAAATAACATAGGAGGAAGCAGCTCCCTCTTCCTGGAAAAACAAAAAGCAGGTCAGAGTTCCTGGTGTGAGATGCCTCACGTTGGCCCTGGCACAGCCCCTCCAGCCAGCCAGCTCCATGCAAGGCACTGCATCAGGGATGCCCATGGCTACGGCCAACGGCTTTTCCCAGCAAGGATATTGTCTGGAGCATCCTCATCCATCCCTTGGGTTGCTGCCGAGCCACGGTGCCACGGGAAGCAAGTGCTGGCAGTGAGCTGAGGTAGCACATTCTCACCTCCTTTGTCACCCATGCTGCCACCCACAGAGCCAGTGCCAGGAGAACTGAGACCAGGGGTCCTTCTGAGTTAGAGAAAGGTGAGAAATGCCACGCCAGCAGCCCCAGCCCCACACTCCACCGGACACAGTCTCCTTGTTCGACAGTCCTAGGCTCTGTTGCTGCTCAGTCAGCCGTGCGGCCCCGGGCTGGTGTCACCCGTGGGCGGTACACCACTGAGGGACACTGGTCCTGGCCTTGAGCCATGGTGTGGACAGAATTTCAGCCCTGGGGTCTGAGCTGGGGCTGCAGAGGGCTGTGGTGGGGTTGTGCAAAACCCTTGGACCGCTGAGGGAGGGAGGCACAAACATCCCTCCACCTCTGCCAGCCATGGGGCTGGATCCTTGTGAGCTGGACCTCTGCTCCTGGGCAAGCCCCATGCTGCTGTCAGCATGGCCAAGCTCTGCATCGCTGCCTTAGAGCTGTGGAATGGGCCGGGGTACCATGTCCTGGGCAGGATGGGGGCTCCCTTCCCTACTCCCTGACCCACACCTTGTCCGTAGATCAACCTGAACAAGGGGGACGAGTACTGGTGGAATGCTATCCTGGAGGGCGAGGAGCAGATCGACATTGACAAGATCAACAAAGAGCGCTCCATGGCCACAGTGGATGAGGAGGAGCATGCTGTGCTCGACCGTCTCACCTTTGACTACCACCAGAAGCTGCAGGGCAAGCCCCAGAGCCACGAGCTGGTAGGTGCCAGCCACCCTGCGCCACCAGCCCAGCCTGGCCCTCCCACTGGCTCTCCAAGGGTCCCATTCCCAGGAAAAGGGTGCAGCATGTGGCAGCCCCACAGCTCTGCTCCATCTCAGAGTTCCTCCTCACTCACTGTCCCCCCACATCAACATTGTGGGGGCATGAGGTTCAGCTGGTCCATCTTTTGCCACTCACTCCTGTCTTCCCCTTCCTGGCATCTTGGCAAATGCCCATAAACCTGCACTGTTGCCGGGCCCCACATCTGTGTGCCTCTCCCCAGAGCTGACCCTGCTCTGGGATGAACCCGCATGGGTCTGGGCTCAGCCAGACACAGGAGCTGCCTGGTGCTGCCCTGGGTGCCATCTGCCCTGTCCTGGGCAGTGAGGAGAAGCAGGGGTGGTGTATGCCCTTGGCAGTGGCTGCTGCCAACCGGGGTGGAGGCGGGGTGGACTGCTGGTGTCCCCTATGTCCCCTTCCGTTGGTCGGGTGGCCACGCAGCCCTGACACCTGTGGGACAAGGGGCAGGGGAGGGCAAGGGGCATGGGGGGCAGCGTGGGGTCACCCTGGGCTGAAGAGAGCCTGTGGCCTCTTTGCAGAAGGTGCACGAGATGCTAAAGAAGGGCTGGGACACCGAGGGCTCCCCATTCCGTGGCCAGAAGTTCGACCCCTCCATGTTCAACATCTCCCCTGGTGCCGTCCAGTTTTGACGGTGGCAAAAACAACTGAAAAACGAAGCAGGGAGAGGAGAAACCTCCCGGATGCCCACTGGGACTCTCACACTCCGTGCCGGTGCCCATGACCCGCTGCTCCATGCTGCCAGCACCCATACATGCGGGGAAGCCAGGTGCGGGCAGATTTACATCCTGTCACCACGGCAACCCGGGCGCCGAGACCCCTCTCCTCCCCTGCCTCCCCTTGCCTCGAGCTGCCGATGCTCTGTGTTTTTCCAGAATAGACGGAGCATGTTGGGTGACATAATTATTATTTTTGGTGGATGAGTATGCTGCTTTTGGGTTTTCTGGGGGTGTGGAGCCCTCCCCACCCTGACTCTGGGCAGCTTTGCCCCTCATGGGCAGGGCTGGGTGCTGGGTACGGGCAGCAGGGATGAAGGGACACATGGGGGAGCCTTCCCCTGCCCTGCACCCTGCCTGCACTCTGCCTGCACCCTCCCCACCTGGCACCCCCAAATCCCCTTGCCAACCCTGCTCTGGGGTCTCCCATGGTGGCTGTGCTGCCCTTGCCCCCTGCCCAGCCCCGGGAGAGTCTTCCTCCTGGTTTCCCCCCAACCCCATCACTGGAGGGTGGTCAAGGCACCCTGGGGTGGGCAGAGACCCCAGCCAGACTGTAGGGTTTGCTTCCCCTTCCCCAGGGGTCAGCAGGGAGCAATGGGGGTGTCCATCACAGCACTGGGGTTCGGGGGTGGCTACAGACCCACCCCTTGTAGCCAGCAGCCCACCCCTCCAGCTAGTGGGCAGGAGCCCCAGGAACATGGGCTTCCCTGGCATGGTACTTTGGGGTCTGAGAGGGGGGATGTGGCAGCCCTGGCTCCCCCCAGGCCCGGCCTGGCTCTTGCAACTTCCCACTGCCCCTCCCACCCTGGGATAGGTAGGCTGGGAGTCCCCTGCTGTCGCCCTGTCCCTCCATTCACCCCACCCCCAGTTTGCAATAAACAGATTTCTCACGGGGGGCCTGCGAGTGATTCGGTACCATCCCTGGGGGACAAGTGTGCCTGACCGCCGCCCCAGCGCCTCGCTTGTGGGGGAGGCACGGAGACACCCGAGGAGGACGCCTGGGGTGTCTGTCTGCCAGCATCGGCCCTGGGCATGTGGAGGATGTTGGGGTCCTGGGGAGGCCGGATATGGGATTCCTGTGGGGCAAGGAGTGGATTTTGTGATCCCCGGGAGGGGGTGGATAGAGGATACACTGAGCGGGGCTGGATTTTGGGGTTCCTTGGGCGTGGGGGTGTCGGAAGATAGGATCCAGGGGCGGGGCTGGATTCTGAGGTCCTTGGTGTGGGGGCGTGGATATGGGATCCCCGCAGGCTGGCTAGGTTTGATGTGGTGGGCATCCAGCACTGGGGGTGCTGCCCCCGGATCCCCCCCGCCGGTGCCGGCATCTCCCGGTGGTGATGTGCACACCGGGCCCGCGGCCCCCCGGCCGCCCACGGTCCCCATGGCAACGGCAGCGCCAGCCGCCCGCCGCCCACCCGCGACTGGGGGGCCGCGCCCACCCACCGGGCGAGGCGGGACACCCCGGGCTCTGGGACTGCTGGTGGCCTCCAGGCCTTTTGTGCGTGATCCCCGTACCAAAATGCACCCCGCATCCTGCCACTGGCACTGGGGGGCTTCAAGGTGCCCTTGGGGAAGGCGGGTGTGTGTGTGTGTGTGTGTGTGTGTTTTTGCCCCCCCCCCCCGGCCCCTCCCGGATGTTTTGCTTAAGGAGGGGAAGGGTTGGAGCCT